ACCTCTCTGGCTGTGGTGGCTCAGCCCCAAAGCCTCCTGGCCCCTGGCGCTTGCTGCTGGTGCCACGAAGACAGCAGCCTCTGACGTGGCTGTGGGAGTGAAGGGGTTTGGCTGTCGCAGAGACACCCTGCTTGGGTTAAATGCTCGCAGGGTGAGCCCCTGATCAGGAGGGGAAGGCTGCGATGGAGGGGATGGGGTGACCATAACACTTCTGCCATGGGACTGCCGTTCCCGTCACAGCATCCCCAGGCCGGCTGCAATGCAAAGGGCACGGGGCAGCTTGATCAAAACCCAGGGGTTTTGCTGGGGCTGATACCTCTGGGGAAAATCTCCCCTGCAAACATGAGTTGTACAAACCTCATGTTAATTAAAAATAGCTTTTCGTCCTAGCCTAGCACCTTAGGCCAGGCCTGGCATTGCCCTTTCTGGCCGGGACCCCCAGCGTGCCCGCGGTGGCAGAACCCCACAGCCCAGCAGATGGGAAGAGGGGCCAGTGCTGAAACACGGGGCTGGAGGCACAAATGGGTATTGCTGCCAGATGCTGGGTGATGGATGGACCACGGCCACCTCTGCGTCCTCAGCACCCACGCCTGGAGCCAGCTGCTGAAATGATAACCCAGGAGCACCCTGTAACATGCTTTATGGCACTGAGGCAATGAGTGGGACCGTGCAGGGTGGGCTGAGCAATGGGCTTGATTTCTGCAGCTACCTGCAACAAGGGAGTGGGGCAAGGGACAGAAGCGGGAGAGCCAGGTTAAGCAGGACGTGGTGGGGATGCGGTGGCAGCTCTGTTTCCAGGGACTTTTGCAAAGCAGAAGTTTGCAGCATGCCGGGCAGGAGCCAGTCTGGCCTCCTGAGAGCTCAGGTTTGCTGCGGCCACTGACTTTTTACAACCCCTTTTGGAAACCTCCCAGCTGGCTGGACAGACACAAAGACATCCACACACAGGCAAAGCAGCGCTCAGGAAATTATCCAGCAACAAAAGCATTACAAGAGGGACAGAAAAGCGGTGCTACTCCCCCACCGGGGCTGCACTTACCGCGGCGCAGTGAGGCGAGGTGTCCGGCTGCCGTCCTGCTGAGCTGAGCAGCTGCCGTCTGAGCCAGAGTCCCCTCCGGTCGTGGTTTTTATGGCTGGTTTCATGCTGATGTCAGAGGCGAGCCCTGGCGGGGACCGAGCTGGGGCATCTCCCCTCCCCGCCGTCCCCTCTCATCAAATCAGCACAGGGATTTTCATGACTCAGAAGGGACCAGCATTTTATCTTCTGCTGGCCGAGGCAGATAACTTGGGAATATGTTAATCCTTGTCCTTGACCCGGCGAAGCTTTCTGCTCCATCACCGTGCTCACAGGGAGCCCCTTGCCCAAAACCCTCTTCGGAGGGTCAGTGGGTGATGCCACCCCAAATGCTGTGCCCATGCATTGGGGTCCTGCTGCCATAAACCAGTTCCACTGCAGGGGTTATGCTGGGTGCCACCACCCTTCACCTTCAAACCACCTCGCAAAAGCTGCTTTAAGGAAATCAGAAAATTAAGTGTGGAGAAGAGGGGAAGGGGACTGGCCGGGGCACATGGACTGGCAGGAGTGGGCTCATCCCTGTGGTGTGGGGGTTTCAAACCTCCCATTTTTAAAAGAGTTAACCCCCAGGTAAAGATTTCTGATGATGTATGTTCTGCCAGATGCGATGCTGGAGGAGCCAGCTTGGGTCTCTAGCACGGGGGGGCTGTTGGGGTCCAAACACACATTCACCCCCAGGCAAAACTGGAATTACTAGGACCTTGAGGAACGTTCTAAAACAGGGACATTTCTGTGTTGGCAGGGTGGTGAAGACACCATCACTGATGGAGTGTGGGCAGGGGAAAGGGGTCTGTCTGCCACCTCCATGCAGAGCTGGCATTGCCCTGGGACAGATCTCCATCACGCCACGGTCAGCTCCAATGCCCGAGCACAGCCAATCTTGAGGGACAGTCAAGGGAGTAGCATGGGACAGAGGGTGACAGCTGCGGAGGGGCATCAAAGGCAGGGAAAGGGATGAAGAGAGAGGAAAAAAATGCATCAGCCAAGGAGATCCAGACTCTGGGCTCAGCAGGGCTCTCTCCACCCCAAGGTTGTTGCTATTATTTAATATAGATTTAAAGCGTCCCCTTGACATTGTGGGCTTGTGTTTCAGGCTGCTTCACCTCCCACATTTGCTCCTGGGTTTCTATGCAAGTCAGAGCAGCATGTTTCAGGGTCAGCCCCCTCCTTACCCCCATGCTGTGCATCCCCTTTGCCTGCCTGGCCTCACTGCTGGGTACCACTGACCCACACTCATCCCACCTGAGGCTCTGTGACCAGCATCTGACAAGTCATATTTCCATCCTGTTCACCACCATCTCCCCGTGTTCTGCTTCAGTTCTGCTGCTTCAGCTCCTGTCTGCTTTCACCTGCTTAGTTTTAAAGTGAGGGGTGCACCAGCTAGTTAAAGGAGAGGATGGGGAGAGAAAGGAGCCTTTGCTCAAGTGAGCTGAAAGAACAGACACTGCAAAATGGGTCCTAGGTTCTGGACACAAAATTGGCTTTATTGCATGATTTAGTGTACATATATATAATCTCTACACAGGCAGATGGGCAGGAAACTGGCAAATAACAACGCAGGTGACTACAGCCTGAATGACGCCTCAGTTTGCACTGCTGAGGCTCATGGTGAGGACTTCTTCAGAGGGTCAAGCATCTGAGCGGTTGTGCGGAAGGACTTGAGTTACAGCTGAAACCAGGTACAGCAAGAGGTGCTGTTGGGAGAAAGCTGAACCCTGACACCAGAAGGGTGGGTGCAAACCCATAGCATTGCCCAGATCTTGGTGGAGCTCCCTTCTGCCAGCCAAGGAGCTGCCATCCTAGCACCAAGGCTGGCTGAGCAGCAAGAGATGCACTCGGCAATGCCGCAGTGTCTGGGAGAGTTTCTACAATGGCAGTGATTTGCACTTACCGTTCTGAACTTCAGGCCAGAAGGATTTCATTTTAAAGTAAGAAATTGGGTTTGTTTCCAGCTGGAAAGCCCAGACTACGGACTTACAAGACTGTTCTGGGATGACTGTGGGACCAACTTCTAGGCAGTTAACAGCCTCTGCTACTACCAAAGCCAAATGTACATGTTACTTGCATGAAAATTCACACTACTGCTCATAATTAAAGTGGTTTTAGTTCGAATGCACAGGAACGGCCTGAAATGGTGCAGTCCAAGTGGCCATCGACGGGAAACTGCCAGCATCGGTCTGACATCCCCACTCCGGCTGCAAGCGATCCTCCCTGCATCACCCACTGCGGAGGGAGGGAGTTGGGGGCTATGAATGACAGGGACCAGCGGGTATCAAGCAAAATCTTTTAACATCAACCTCCTCCAAAGTTTCCTGCAAGAGAAAGCAATCCTCTCCCCGTCCCAATGTCCTGGGCATGGGTATGGCGCCAGGCACTGATCCACCAGGGTCAGTGGACGTGGAGAATTAAATGTTGGAGGAAAACAAACAGTTTGGGGTTTCTGGGGGAGGGTGTTACCAATGCTGCTGTCACCTGGCAGGAGCCCAGGGCCACCGCAGCCCCCAAAGGCCATCCCCTCCAAAGGATTGGATGGTCCTACCAGGTCCTACAATCCCATCATCAGGGACAGGGGACATGCTCATCCACAAAGCGCCTTTTGGCACTGGCTGGCCTCTTGGCAGAGCGGGGAAAGCTTCCAGAGAAGCACCTATGCTCTGCTTGCTGGAGTCCTTCTGAACTTGCTGGTATAACCTTGCAGGGAAAAGGGACATCTTCGAGAGCTGGAAAAACAAACTGATCCCCAACAAGCCCTCCAGCCTTTCTTCCACTGTTCTTGCCACTGCTTCCTGCAAGCCTTGCCTCACTCACATCCCCAGATGGTCACAGCTACTTCAGGCACAGTGGCAAGAAGCCTCAGTGGGTGTTTGCATAGCTTCATGCAAAGATCTGTTGGCCAAGTGCTCACTGGGAGGGAGCCAGCGCTGCTCTTACCCTGCTTTGCTGCTCAGGGAAGGGAAACGATGCTCCAAGGGACATCGCAGGGAGTCAGGACCAGTGCTGGGATGTGAATCCCAGCCTGGGATGCCTGGGTCCCTGCTCTACCTAGGGTACCCCAAGGGCATCCTGTGCCTGCTGTCAGCTCCTGTCCCCACTCAGCACCAGCCTGGGAGAGCACAGGGACAGACTCTGACAGCAATGCAATGACTGTGGCAGATGACATTGGCCTTTTGTGAAGGGCTGGGCCATGTCACTGCTCCCAGTCCCCATGCTGGAAAGCCACACTGATGTCCAGCTCCCTCCGAGGAGGTCAATCCTGCTCTGCACCCCTCTGGTCCCCTTGGTGGACCGGGTACCAAAGAGCTGCCGAAAGCTGAGGTCTCATGCCTGCATACTCCCATGAGAGCCCCTGGCCACGTGTCCACAGCCCAGTGCATCACTCCTCTTCCTGGCAGCTCCCAGCAAGATCCCTGCCCATGGCCTCCAGCTTCCCTCCTGTCCAGGGTTTCAGGGGGAGACGGGTGCGGGAGAAGGAAGAACAAGCGTTGGGGGGAAAGCAGCGAGGCTTTGTGCCGAGGTCTTGTATCATCAGTGAAATGCAGTGGCAGGAGGGTCTCCCTCTCCTCAGGACAGGTGGGTCATCACAGGCTTCTGCAAGGCACCAGAGGGAGAAACCTCAGCCCACCGCCGTGCCCATGCCACCCCAAGCCACCTCTGCCACCCTAGGTGATAAGGCCAGCACGCTCCCTGTCCCCTCCAGCTGCCACTGCATGGAGTGAGGACATACCCTGTCCCATGGACCATGCAGGCAGTGAGAATTCAAAGATGTACATCTTGTTTGGTCCCTCCACCCTTAGGCATATGACATCCCAGACCTCAGGGGGTGGTGTCTAGGTGTGCCTGCCCTCACCGGCCAGCATGGTGAGACCAACGCCGAGAGCTGGGGGCTCTGCCGGCTCAAGGGGAGCATGGGGAGGGACAGGTCCCTCTGCGCAAGCCCAGGAAGGCAGGTCCCACA